TCCTTTTAATGAAAAAAAACGAGGAGTGTCAGTTTTGTATTCAAGTTATAAGGCATGTTTTCACGTGCCAAAACAAAGTTCGCTTTTCATCCTTCTAAAAAGAAGCTTAAACATGTACAAATGTCGTTCAAACTTGTTTTATATTAAAGTCCAATCATTGTTTAAGGTTTTTAGACATAAAGCTGGCTTGAAGATCACTGTTTTTTGCAAAAAATCCGTCAATTTCGAAGTGATGTATTTCGCCCCGTACCTTCAATGGCGGCGCTCATGCAGGCTCCAAAGATGGCGTCCAAGTTAGCCTTCCAGTTGTTATGGAGTTCATTGCTGGGGACTCACTTTTCTGTGGTTTTGTATTACGTAATCGCTGTTTTTGTAACGTTCTGACTTTTACACTTTTCTGATCGGACCAATTTTCTTATCACAACTATAAAAGGATTTGAAGGATTTGACGGTTATTTCGGCATCGTAACGCTGTGAAACTTCCGGGAGAGTTCCGGAAGTTTGCCTTTTTGGGACAGAAAATTCATGTCCGTTTTGTTTGATATATAACTATAGGTTTGATGAGAATTTTTAAACTACGACGAATTTTACGAAGAAGGTCGAAAAGCAAACGTTTACCTTGTTTGCGTAGATATGGTATTCTAATGAAAATTTTACGGAGGTCATTGCTTGGAGGGGCTATTTTTGGCGGAAACTTTGGTTTTGAGTTTATGAATCATGAATTTCCAAACTGTAAGAGAGAAACCATTCCATGATATAAAAGACTTGAGTATTTGAATTTGTTTTTTGAACAATGTTTGGTTAGAACAAATGTTAAATGCGTGAAAAAATAGGGAATTGATCCAAGTAGTTTTGTGGTTAAAAGGCTCGAAACTTGAAAAATGTGTATACTGGCCAGTATGAGTTGTTTTAAGGAAAATATCAATTTCATTATTGGTTATTTTGAGGTCTAGAAAGTGGACATGTAAGTCAGAAAAGACATCAAAAGTAAATTTAAGATTTTTATCAAGATTATTAAATTTGGCAAGAACATGAGGAATGTCAGAATGTCGCATAAGAACAAGAGTATCATCAACATAACGTCGGTAAAACTTAAGGACACCTGAGTTGATCAAATGAGTGACAATGATGTTTTCAAACTCAGTGAGAATTATATTAGCTAAGACGTGACCGAGAGAAGGAAACCCATGGAAACCTCATGAAATATAATAAAGATTACAAAATTTCTTTGTCGTAAGAAAAACATAAACACCTTTTTCACAAGTTTAAAATTTTCGCTCTCCAATGGATAGCGCTATCCAGGCTTCGAGCAACCGGCCCCTGCATTTTATTTTAAACTATTAGTCTGGAGAAATTATCATAATTTCAATATTATAACTTAATGATTAGGGAATACAGCTACCAACAACTAATAAGCAATTTCACAACTTAAAAGTGTAATTGATCACTTGCACACAATTTTGATTATCTAAGACGGCAGCTCATGGTCACTTTTTTAGTTTTTATCACAATTGATGTCATACTCGTGTATCTATAACTGTATAGACAATGGTTGAATGTTATCTATTTGTTGAATACTTCATTGTACTGGTAAATGCAAAAGTTCTATGACAACTATTGCTTCTATTAAATCTGGCTATTTATCTCCACTCATTAGTGCCTTTTCAAGTATACCAATGATACACCAATGCTTTCAAGCTCCAACCTTATTTACCAATTCTAGCACATGCCATGTAGGCTTGCAACATGTACACTTGGCCCACAAACTTTTGCCTTATATTATAGGTGCAATGAACTGTCTAGCCGATGTATTAAAAATGCATCCATGATAGTTTCCGTATTTTGTGCAAATGAAATGAAACTCTCTCAACTGCATTGTTTCAAAACTTTCAATTTTCGAGACAAACTACTTTGTTGTCCATCAAACTTTTGCTGGTCAACATCATTTCAATAATCTTTATTGTTTGAACAGGTCAATATTCTGTTAGGCTTCGTGGACCAAGAAGTTCTAGTGGTAGAGGTCGTGTTGAAGTTTATTACAATGGAGAATGGGGAACAGTTTGTGATGATTACTGGGATTTGAATGATGCTAAAGTGGTTTGTCGTCAACTTGGTCTTGCTGCTGTCAGTGCTTTAGGTTATTGGGATAATGTTCCTCATGGCAGTGGAAGAATATGGTTGGATAATGTTCATTGTACAGGAAATGAAAGAAATATTGCCAATTGTCCACACAATGGATGGGGATCACATGATTGTTCACATCCTGAAGATGCTGGTGTAGAATGTTCAGGTTTGTATGGTGCATAATTTATCTTTAAAATTGCAAGATAATTTCAATAAAGATTATGAACTGGAACTGTGATCGATGATTAATTTCAATATTTAAAATGATTTCATGTTATTTAAACAGATATTAATGAATGCCTGCAAAATCAACATAACTGCGGAAGTAACTCCAACTGTAGGAACACATTTGGTAGTTTCACCTGTGTTTGTCGTACTGGTTTCTCAGGAAATGGAAGAGTTTGCTCAGGTAAAAATTCTTTTATACATGAAGATGCTGGTGTAGAATGTTCAGGTTTTTATGGTGCATAATTTATCTTTAAAATTGCAAGATAATTTCAATAAAGATTATGAACTGGAACTGTGATCGATGATTAATTTCAATATTTAAAATGATTTTATGTTATTTAAACAGATATTAATGAATGCCTGCAAAATCAACATAACTGCGGAAGTAACTCCAACTGTAGGAACACATTTGGTAGTTTCACCTGTGTTTGTCGTGCTGGTTTCTCAGGAAATGGAAGAATTTGCTCAGGTAAAAATTCTTTTATACATTCTTTGTCATTTGTTGCTCTAAGTATTTTAATTGTTGACATGTTTAATGCTTTGTTGGTTTTTTGAGTTTTTTGGCGAGATATGCAGACAGTTCTTACTGACTGTCTCTTTAGATGTTTTGGAGTGATGACTGTATTTATCATCTCCAATTTGCGAATGCTCAAAACAGTTCTTGTTCGTCAGTTTTTGCAGAATGCCATTATCATTTAATAAAAATCTTCTTGAATTTATGACATACGTATTAACTTAGTTTAAATAAGATTCTTTAAAATTTTTAATAATTAGCCAGCCAATAAATGGCATTGTCATTAATTGTTATCATGGGTAGGTATTGGCCAACAAAAAAATTTATTAGAAAAGACGTTACTTAACTACCGAGCTAAGGACTCGAGCTCGGGATCGACCTGAGACTCAAATATGGACTTGATCTCAGACTCTTACTCGGTCTTGAACTAAATTAACTTGTATATTAGTATATTGTGATCGCAATTTCCCACGTAATAAGGTCGGCATATAATCGTTGAAGCTCAGTCATAAAAAGATTTTTAAAATATGATCTACAAAACAATACGCACGGCTCAAACGTAGACATGTATGATATTTACAATGCCTGTTGTCATATACTATACGGAAATTAGCATGAGCTCGATTGATCTGTTGACTGTTGGCAAAATGCTTCCGTTCTTTATATACAAAGCTTCCCTAAATAGTTATAAATTTAGTCAAAACTAAAAAGCTCGAAATATTTTGCCAATTCAAGCTTCGCATGTGATCACTAACATAAGTCATAGATCTCTTTTAGGTGAACTGTAATAGGCAGTGAACTCTACAACCACTGCAAGGCTAACTTGGCCGCCATCTTTGCAGCCTGCATGATCGCCGCCATTGAGAGTACGGAGGCGTATAAAAATTTCCAAATATTTAAATTCATCAGTTTTATCTCGGAGATTTAAACATTTAATAACAGCGAATTTGTTGCATGTTTACATGGGACCCGCACGAAATCACGAAAAATCCTGATTTGTGTAATGCCTTCTTTGCAGGCTAGTTTTACACTTGCTAACCATTTCGTTTTTGTAATTTACTTTTGTCCTCATGTGTTGTTGTCATTTCAGACCGGTTTGAACGTTCATTTGAGTTTACATTGATATGCCAGTTTCAATTCATACCGTTCTGAACTTAGTCGGATCGTTCGGAAGGCGGTACGACTTCCGACCACTCTGAGCCATTTTCGTAAACATGTACACGATCCGATGTAAACATATACTAGAAATAATATTATAACCGACACGAGCTGGAACCGGTTTGACTTCGTTCCGCTCTCATGTAAAGAGGACCTTAAAATTCCAGAGGTTCAAGTCAAAAGTTTCATGGTGTAGCAACATATACATTTAACTAAAAGGTGGTGCAAAAAGTTTTGCAATTAATTGTTTTAAGTACTCAATAATGGAAGTAAACATCAAATTTTTTTATTTACATCCAAAGTTTCAAATCATAAAACTATCATTGTGAAAATGGTCATTGAATTATACAAAATGCAAATACGTGTATTATTCTTAGACATAGATGAATGCACTCTTTCTATCAACAATTGTCATCAAAATTCAACCTGCATCAACACTATTGGATCTTATTTATGTAATTGTAATGTTGGTTTTTCTGGAAATGGAAACATTTGTAACGGTTGGTTTTATAATTTTACTTTTTGTTAGTAGTCCACTCATTTCTGCTCAATAAAGTCTCAACGTCAAAAACTTGTTTTGTATTCTTAGATATTGATGAATGTACTCTGTCTATCAACAATTGTCATGAAAACTCAACATGCATCAACATAAATGGATCTTATTTGTGTCATTGCAACGTTGGTTATTCTGGAAATGGAACAGTTTGTGAAGGTTTGTTTTATAATATAAGATTTATAGTTTAACAAACCAATTTTAACTCAAAAATGTGTAATATTAATAGACATTGATGAATGTTCTCTTTCTATGGACGATTGTCATCAAAACTCAACCTGTATCAATATAAATGGATCATATTTATGTAATTGCAATGTTGGTTATTCTGGAAATGGAACAGTTTGTGAAGGTTTGTTTTATAAACTAAGATTTTGACTTTTGATAAAATATCTCTAATTTGATTACGTTTATTATTAATAGATATTAATGAATGTTCTCTTTCTATCGACAATTGTCATCAAAACTCAATCTGTGTTAATACAAATGGATCTTATTTATGTAATTGCAATGTTGGTTATTCTGGAAATGGAACTGTTTGTGATGGTTCGTTTTATCAACTAGAATTTATAGTTTAACAAACAAATTTTAACTCAAAAATGTGTAATATTAATAGATATTGATGAATGTTCACTTTCTATCGACAATTGTCATCAAAACTCAATCTGTGTTGACACAAATGGATCGTATTTATGTAATTGCAACTTTGGTTATTCTGGAAATGGGACTGTTTGTGATGGTTCGTTTTATCGACTAGAATTTATAGTTTAACAAACAAATTTTAACTCAAAAATGTGTAATATTAATAGATATTGATGAATGTTCTCTTTCTATCGACAACTGTCATCAAAACTCAACATGTGTTAACACCAATGGATCGTATTTATGTAACTGCAACATTGGTTATTCTGGAAATGGAACTGTTTGTGATGGTTCGTTTTGTAAACACTAATTTTAAAGGTGGTCTTTTGAATTATGTTATAAAAGTTGAGTGCAAATATGTATTTATTCTTAGATATTGATGAATGTTCTCTTTTTATCGACAATTGTCATCAAAACTCAATCTGTGTTAATACAAATGGATCTTATTTATGTAATTGCAACATTGGTTATTCTGGAAATGGAACTGTTTGTGAAGGTTTGTTTTATCAACTGAAATTTATAATTGTGACAAGGGTATACTGGGCGGAAAGCAAAGTTTAAATATAAATATCAAAGCCCAGCAAAGTGCTTTTAAAAGAGCCATTTAATGCATAGAAAGAAATATTTATAAGGTGTAACGTTTCGTCTTGACTCTCAAGACATCATCAGACAATATTGAATTACAAGTATAGAGGGATATATATATAATAGCTATTTACATAATATTAAATTACATGGTGGAATGAAAACGTGTTAGTAAATATTGGATAAGATGGTATGACGTGGGATAAGTAGAAACACGAAAGAAACAAAAAAAACAAACAAAACACAAAGTATACAGACATGAGGACGGACGAAATTAGATTAAAGCAACTGAAGGACAATGGAGTTTCCTTGGACGTTAAGAGATGGTTTCATTTTGTTGATTAAGAGGCTTTCGTGAATAAGAAGTTCTTGTCAGTTTGAGCATGAAGAAAGTAAAATCGTCGAAGGTGGCGGTGTGTCCTGTGGATTTAATGTGTTATAGTATGGAGGAATGACAGGGATGTTTAGAACGTTTACCAGTCAAAGGGGTGATGCCCAAATGCTCTGAAATTCGAGTTTGTAGGTGGCGGGTGGTTTGACCCACGTACGATGCGGAGCAGCATCGACACTTAAAAGAATAGACAACATTCGATTTCAGAGTTTTGGGCACTTTGTCCTTGAAAGGAAACAGGCTGGAGAGGCGTTTGGTGGATCGAAAGAAGAATCGTATTTCACAGTGTGGGAAAGCGGCACGACAAAAGCGATTGATTTGTGTGCGGATTTGGGATGAGTATAGACCAGTAAATGGAAGGCCGAAATACAGTATTTTCTTGGGTACGGTATGAACAGGTGGTTTGGGTTGAAAGACTTTGTCAAGAAACATTTTTACACAGTGATCAAATATGTGACAGGGAAATAAATTGGGAATAAATAATCTGCCTGCTTTTTCGATTTCAGTATGGAAGTTTTCATAAGTGGAGCAAATATTAAAGAAGCGATGAACTAAACATAATATTAAACTGCGTTTATATGTTAGTGGAATGAAGCTGTGGAAATTAGTAAAAAGACCAGTGAACGTAGGTTTTCTGTATATGGACGTGAAGAACTTTCCATTAATCAAACAAAATGAAACCATCTCTTAACGTCCAAGGAAACTCCATTGTCCTTCAGTTGCTTTAATCTAATTTCGTCCGTCCTCATGTCTGTATACTTTGTGATTATGTGTGTTTTGTTTGTTTTTTGTTTCTTTCGTGTTTCTACTTATCCCACGTCATACCATCTTATCCCATATTCACTAACACGTTTTCATCCCACCATGTAATTTAACATTATGTAAATAGCTATTACATATATATCCCTCTATACTTGTAATTCAATATTGTCTGATGATGTCTTGAGAGTCAAGACGAAACGTTACACCTTATAAATATTTCTTTCTATGCATTAAATGGCTCTTTTAAAAGCACTTTGCTGGGCTTTGATATTTATATTTAAACTAAAATTTATAGTTTAACAAACCAATGTTAACTAAAAAATGTGTAATATTAATAGATATTGATGAATGTTCTCTTTCCATTGACAATTGTCATCAAAACTCAACCTGTGTTAACACAAATGGATCGCATTTATGTAATTGTAACGTTGGTTATTCTGGAAATGGAACTGTTTGTGATGGTTCGTTTTGTAAAAACTAATTTTAAATTATGTTATAAAAGTTGAGTGCAAATATGTATTTATTCTTAGATATTGATGAATGTTCTCTTTTTATCGACAATTGTCATCAAAACTCACTCTGTGTTAATACAAATGGATCTTATTTATGTAATTGCAATGTTGGTTATTCTGGAAATGGAACTGTTTGTGATGGTTCGTTTTGTAAAAACTAATTTTAAATTATGTTATAAAAGTTGAGTGCAAATATGTATTTATTCTTAGATATTGATGAATGTTCTCTTTTATCGACAATTGTCATCAAAACTCACTCTGTGTTAATACAAATGGATCTTATTTATGTAATTGCAATGTTGGTTATTCTGGAAATGGAACTGTTTGTGATGGTTCGTTTTGTAAAACTAATTTTAAATTATGTTATAAAAGTTGAGTGCAAATATGTATTTATTCTTAGATATTGATGAATGTTCTCTTTTTATCGACAATTGTCATCAAAACTCACTCTGTGTTAACACAAATGGATCTTATTTATGTAATTGCAACGTTGGTTATTCTGGAAATGGGTCTTTTTGTGAAGGTTCGTTTATCAACTACGATTTATAGTTTAACAAACAAATTTTAACTAGAAAATGTGTAATATTAATAGACATTGATGAATGTTCTCTTTCTATGGACGATTGTCATCAAAACTCAACCTGCATCAACATAAATGGATCATATATATGTAATTGCAATGTTGGTTATTCTGGAAGTGGAACAGTTTGTGAAGGTTTGTTCTATAAACTAAGATTTTGACTTTTAAAAAAATATCTCTAATTTGATTACATTTATTATTAATAGATATTGATGAATGTTCTCTGTCTATCGACAATTGTCATCAAAACTCAATCTGTGTTAACACAAATGGATCGCATTTATGTAACTGCAATGTTGGTTATTCTGGAAATGGAACTGTTTGTGAAGGTTGGTTTTATCAACTAAAATTTATAGTTTAACAAACCAATTTTAACTCAAAAATGTGTATTATTAATAGATATTGATGAATGTTCACTTTCTATCCACAACTGTCATCAAAACTCAGCTTGCGTTAACGCCAATGGAACGCATTTATGTAACTGCAATGTTGGTTATTCTGGAAATGGGTCAGTTTGTGAAGGTACCTTCTGTAAACACCGATTTTAAAGGTGGTGTTTTGAACTACTTTAAAAAAGTTGGATGCAAATATGTATTTATTCTTAGATATTGATGAATGTTCTCCGTCTATCGACAACTGTCATCAAAACTCAACCTGTGTTAACACAAATGGATCTTATTTATGTAATTGCAATGTTGGTTATTCTGGAAATGGAACTTTTTGTGAAGGTTTGTTTTGTAAACACTAATTTTAAAGGTGGTGTTTTGAATTATGGTATAAAAGTTGAGTGGAAATATGTATTTATTCTTAGATATTGATGAATGTTCTCTTTCCATCGACAATTGTCATCAAAACTCAATCTGTGTTAATACAAATGGATCGTATTTATGTAATTGCAACGTTGGTTATTCTGGAAATGGAACTTTTTGTGAAGGTCAGTCTTGTAAAGTATGATTTTTAAATTAGTCAATTTGATTACGTACCAATCGCAAATACATCTTTTTTTGTTATAGATATTGATGAATGTTCTCTTTTTATCGACAATTGTCATCAAAACTCAATCTGTGTTAATACAAATGGATCTTATTTATGTAATTGCAACGTTGGTTATTCTGGAAATGGAACTTTTTGTGAAGGTCAGTCTTGTAAAGTATGATTTTTAAATTAGTCAATTGAATTACATACGAATCGCAATTATATGTATTTTTTGTCATAGATATTGATGAATGTTCTCTTTCTATTGACAATTGTCATCAAAACTCAATCTGTGTTAACACAAATGGATCGCATTTATGTAACTGCAATATTGGTTATTTTGGAAATGGAACTGTTTGTGATGGTTGGTTTTATCAACTAAAATTTATAATTGTGACCAAAGTATACTGGGCGGAAAGCGAAGTTTAAATATAAATATCAAAGCCCAGCAAAGTGCTTTTAAAAGAGCCATTTAATGCATAGAAAGAAATATTTATAAGGTGTAACGTTTCGTCTTGACTCTCAAGACATCATCAGACAATATTGAATTACAAGTATAGAGGGATATATATATAATAGCTATTTACATAATATTAAATTACATAATATTAAATTACATGGTGGGATGAATACGTGTTAGTGAATATGGGATAAGATGGTATGACGTGTGATAAGTAGAAACACGAAAGAAACAAAAAAAACAAACAAAACACACATAATCACAAGTATACAGACATGAGGACGGACGAAATTAGATTAAAGCAACTGAAGGACAATGGAGTTTCCTTGGACGTTAAGAGATGGTTTCATTTTGTTGATTAAGAGGCTTTCGTGAATAAGAAGATCTTGTGAGTCTGAGCATGAAGAAAGTATTTTAAAATCCTCGAAGGTGGCGGTGTGTCCTGTGGATTTAAGGTGTGATAGTATGGAGGAAAGACAGGGATGTTTAGAACGTTTACCAGTCAAAGGGGTGATGCCCAAATGCTCTGAAATTCGAGTTTGTAGGTGGCGGGTGGTTTGACCCACGTACGATGCGGAGCAGCATCGACACTTAAAAGAATAGACAACATTCGATTTCAGAGTTTTGGGCACTTTGTCCTTGAAAGGAAACAGGCTGGAGAGGCGTTTGGTGGATCGAAAGAAGAATCGTATTTCACAGTGTGGGAAAGCGGCACGACAAAGGCGATTGATTTGTGTGCGGATTTGGGATGAGTGTAGACCAGTAAATGGAAGGCCGAAATACAGTATTTTCTTGGGTACGGTATGAACAGGTGGTTTGGGTTGAAAGACTTTGTCAAGAAACATTTTTACACAGTGATCAAATATGTGACAGGGAAATGAATTGGGAATAAATAATCTGCGTACTTTTTCGATTTCAGTATGGAAGTTTTCATAAGTGGAGCAAATATTAAAGAAGCGATGAACTAAACATAATATCAAACTGCGTTTATATGTTAGTGGAATGAAGCTGTGGAAATTAGTAAAAAGACCAGTGAACGTAGGTTTTCTGTATATGGACGTGAAGAACTTTCCATTAATCAACAAAATGAAACCATCTCTTAACGTCCAAGGAAACTCCATTGTCCTTCAGTTGCTTTAATCTAATTTCGTCCGTCCTCATGTCTGTATACTTTGAGATTATGTGTGTTTTGTTTGTTTTTTTTTGTTTCTTTCGTGTTTCTACTTATCCCACGTCATAACATCTTATCCCATATTCACTAACACGTTTTCATCCCACCATGTAATTTAACATTATGTAAATAGCTATTACATATATATCCCTCTATACTTGTAATTCAATATTGTCTGATGATGTCTTGGGAGTCAAGACGAAACGTTACACCTTATAAATATTTCTTTCTATGCATTAAATGGCTCTTTTAAAAGACCTTTGCTGGGCTTTGATATTTATATTTAAACTAAAATTTATAGTTTAACAAACAAATTTTAACTCAAAAATGTGTAATATTAATAGATATTGATGAATGTTCTCTTTCTATGGACGATTGTCATCAAAACTCAACCTGTATCAACATAAATGGATCATATATATGTAATTGCAATATTGGTTATTCTGGAAGTGGAACAGTTTGTGAAGGTTTGTTCTATAAACTAAGATTTTGACTTTTAAAAAAATATCTCTAATTTGATTACATTTATTATTAATAGATATTGATGAATGTTCTCTTTTTATCAACAATTGTCATCAAAACTCAATCTGTGTTAATACAAATGGATCGCATTTATGTAATTGCAATGTTGGTTATTCTGGAAATGGAACTGTTTGTGATGGTTCGTTTTGTAAACACTAATTTTAAAGGTGGTCTTTTGAATTATGTTATAAAAGTTGAGTGCAAATATGTATTTATTCTTAGATATTGATGAATGTTCTCTTTTTATCGACAATTGTCACCAAAACTCAATCTGTGTTAATACAAATGGATCTTATTTATGTAATTGCAACATTGGTTATTCTGGAAATGGAACTTTTTGTGAAGGTACGTTTTGTAAACATTATTTTTAAAGGTGGTCTTTTGAATTATGTTATAAAAGTTGAGTGCAAATATTTGTATTTATTCTTAGATATTGATGAATGTTCTCTTTTATCGACAATTGTCACCAAAACTCAATCTGTTTTAATACAAATGGATCGTATTTATGTAATTGCAACGTTGGTTATTCTGGAAATGGAACTTTTTGTGAAGGTTTGTTTTATCAACTAAAATTTATAGTTAAACAAACAAATTTTAACTCAAAAATTTGTAATATTAATAGATATTGATGAATGTTCACTTTCTATCCACAACTGTCATCAAAACTCAGCTTGCATTAACACCAATGGAACGCATTTATGTAACTGCAATGTTGGTTATTCTGGAAATGGGTCAGTTTGTGAAGGTTTGTTTATCAACTAAAATTTATAGTTTAACAAACCAATTTTAACTCAAAAATGTATAATATTAATAGATATTGATGAATGTTCTCTTTTTATGGACAATTGTCATGAAAACTCAACATGCATCAACACAAATGGATCTTATTTCTGTAATTGTAATGTTGGTTATTTTGGAAATGGGACGGTTTGTGAAGGTTGGTTTTACAAACTAAGATTTCGAATTGAACAAAGCCAATTCTAACTTAAATACGTTTATTATTAACAGATATTGACGAATGTTCTCTTTCTATTGACAATTGTCATCAAAACTCACTCTGTGTTGACACAAATGGATCTTATTTGTGTCATTGCAACGTTGGTTATTCTGGAAATGGAACAGTTTGTGATGGTTCGTTTTATAATATAAGATTCATAATTTAACAAACCAATTTTAATTCAAAAATGTGTAATATTAATAGATATTGATGAATGTTCTCTTTCTATAAACAATTGTCATCAAAACTCAATCTGTGTTAATACAAATGGATCGTATTTATGTAATTGCAACGTTGGTTATTCTGGAAATGGAACTTTTTGTGAAGGTCAGTCTTGTAAAGTATGATTTTGAAATTAGTCAATTGAGTTACATACGAATTGCAAATACATGTATTTTTTATTATAGATATTGATGAATGTTCTCTTTCTATCGACAACTGTCATCAAAACTCACTCTGTGTTAATACAAATGGATCTTATTTATGTAATTGTAACCCTGGTTATTCTGGAAATGGAACTTTTTGTGAAGGTCAGTCTTGTAAAGTATGATTTTGAAATTAGTCAATTGAGTTACATACGAATTGCAAATACATGTATTTTTTATTATAGATATTGATGAATGTTCTCTTTCTATCGACAACTGTCATCAAAACTCACTCTGTGTTAATACAAATGGATCTTATTTATGTAATTGTAACCCTGGTTATTCTGGAAATGGAACTTTTTGTGAAGGTCAGTCTTGTAAAGTATGATTTTCAAATTAGTCAATTGAATTACAAACGAATCCCAAATATATGTATTTTTTGTTACAGATATTGACGAATGTTCTCTTTCCATCGACAATTGTCATCAAAACTCAATCTGTGTTAATACAAATGGATCTTATTTATGTAATTGCAACGTTGGTTATTCTGGAAATGGAACTTTTTGTGAAGGTCAGTCTTGTGAAATATGATTTTCAAATTAGTCAATTGAAATACATACGAATCGCAAATACACGTATTTTTTGTTATAGATATTGATGAATGTTCTCTTTTTATCGACAATTGTCATCAAAACTCAATCTGTGTCAATACAAATGGATCTTATTTGTGTAAATGCAATGTTGGTTATTCTGGAAATGGAAAAACTTGTGAAGGTCAGTCTTGTGAAATATGATTTTCAAATTAGTCAATTGAATTACATACGAATCGCAAATACATATATTTTTTGTTATAGATATTGATGAATGTTCTCTTTCCATCGACAATTGTCATCAAAACTCATTCTGTGTTAATACCAATGGATCTTATTTATGTAACTGCTACATTGGCTTTTCTGGAAATGGAACTTTTTGTAAAGGTTCGTTTTATCAAGTAAGATTTATAACTTAACAAGTAAATTTTAATTCAAAAATTTGTAATAATAGACATTGACGAATGTTCTCTTTCCATCGACAATTGTCATGAAAACTCAATCTGTGTCAATACAAATGGATCTTATTTGTGTAAATGCAATGTTGGTTATTCTGGAAATGGAAAAACTTGTGAAGGTTGGTTTAATAAGTATCGATTTTAAAGATGGCCTTTTGAATTACGTATGTGAAAAAAGTTCGCTCGAAATAGTATTAATTCTTAGATATTGATGAGTGTTCTCTTTCTATCGACAATTGTCATCAAAACTCAATCTGTGTCAATACAAATGGTTCTTATTTATGTAATTGCAATCTTGGTTATTCTGGAAATGGAACTTTTTGTGAAGGTCAGTCTTGTAAAGTATGATTTTCAAATTAGTCACTTGAATTACATGCGAATCGCAAATACATATATTTTTTGTTATAGATATTGATGAATGTTCTCTTTCTATTGACAATTGTCATCAAAACTCAACCTGTGTTAATACAAATGGATCGTATTTATGTAACTGCATTGCTGGTTATTCTGGAAATGGAACAGTCTGTGAAGGTCTGTTTCATAATTTTACATTTTAGCAGTTGTTATTATTTTATATGAAATGATGGTATAATGATGAAATTTTTTATTTTAGATATTAATGAATGTTTGATGTCAGTTTTTAATTGTGATGAAAACTCAATCTGTGTCAACAACATTGGATCATATTCATGCAGTTGTCAATATGGTTATGTACGAAATGGAGTTATTTGTACAGGTCGGTGTCTTAAAAGTGCCAACTTGTAAAGGATTAGGAAATAGTATAAGGATAATGCTTTTAGAAATATGCTCAGAAAATAAATATTGTCAATTGTTGGCATAGACGTGCCAAACAACTGTTCCTTGCGAGTGTAATTTTTTTGCACTCGCATGGAGAATTTTATTTCAGTAGAAAATAATTCACACTAATGTGGCAGTCATGTTTTTTGTATAAATGGTATTTGCACTTTAATCTATAACTCGTGGTTGTACTGGTAACGGAGAAAGTGGTTTGTTAAATGCGATTAAGTTTAGGAATGAAAGAAAACTATATCACAATTTCCCTCTTTTTGATATTTTCCCTGAAGTGAAGGATGAATTTTTGTGTTTAGTCCCTACTACTTTGCGTTTTATGCGTTAGAGGCCATTTCTTCTATTCACAGGACAATGATTTTGTTACCTTTTAGAAATACCTGTGAATGCAAAGAATTTTCTCTCTTTTCCAAACTGGGCTTATGCAATAGTTTCATTTGTTTTAATTTTGGCTGCAATAATACTTGTTATTTTTGTTATTCGACGACTACGAGGACGCCGCCGCCTGGGTGTGGATAAGAAGTCTTCAAAAGACGGGAATACTATCCAAATGTCGTTTTTGAATGACATTTATTCCAATTGTGAAAACACCGACCATCAGAGGAAATCTGTTGAGCCAGAAGTTTCAACGGCACTGAATGTTAATGCGTGTCGATGATTCGTTTTTTTTCTCAGTTTTTTATTTTTTTCATTTAATCTCATTCATACACGTGATTTTAGACTTTCAGCAGAAACAAATAAACAGAAATGACTTATTTAGAAATTTACACAAAAGTTATTTGTTGTAATTCTACGTACGATATTTGGCAAGTGTCATAATCCACACTGATAATCATTTGCTTTGTTTTCGTGATTTTAGAAAACAATTTTGACGTCCTAGCATTTTATGTAGTTCATGCTGGTAAATATAGCAATTACAACTTAAAAGCTCGAACATGTTCAGAATTAAAGAATGTAATAAAGGTGAATTGCAATATTTACCATTAATAATACAAGCGATACCATGCATAATAAAAATACTGTAATTTTTTCACGGTAATTACAATTGGCATTCATGTCAATACATACAAGGAATAAAAGTTAAAACATATGGTTTTGAATAATATCTTTAAAATTTTTCAGGCTGCTTCATATGAAATGATTTCTCGGTTATGTTCAACAGCTAGTTTTATTTAAATTGTATTGTATAGTTTGCAAAATCATTGAGCTAAAATACATGAACGCTACCTGTACTTACGCAGTAATTATTGCTGGGTTACATATTGCGTATGTTCTCTCGTGCTGTTCCACCTCCCCTTCCCCGGCCTTTTTTGGAACAGCGCGGTCAATGTGGTTTAAAAAATGCAAAGAAAACAACTGTGTTGAAAAGAAAATTCGTAAAAAATTTGTTATTTTTTAAACTCTAAGAATGCATATAACAATCAAAAATGTCTGATGCTAACATCACTCACTTTCAATCTTCTGGACAATTTTCCAAAAACACAGTTTCGTTAACACTAGAGTGCAAAAATTTTATCCTTTCTAAGAAAAAACCTGTTTCTCGTGGAAAACAATCAATGAAGTGGTATGTCGACAATATATTCTACCCTTTTATCTTATGTTAATAAAAGCAGGAGTGTCACATAACTTTTCCTTAACTTAAAACAGGAGACAACTCTTCAACTTTTTCTTCTTGAATTGGGAGAAAATCACCTTCTTCTTTTGGTGTTTTATTTGGGGCATAAGAAATGGTTCGGATTTCCTTTACGATGCAATTTTTAATGTTCTTAATATCTGTCTCCGTTAATGCAACATTCGTGACAACTGGAACGGTTCGAGATCGAATGAGAAGGAAGACGCATAACAATAGAATTATGGTTATTATTACAACCATAACTGGTTGCCACATTGAAGGTATTTTACTAAGGAAGGCGTTCAAACTTTCTCCACATGAAGCAGCAATGTATTCCAATGGATGAAATATCAGACGAGTTGCAGTGGTTGAAAGAGCCTGAAATTGCAAACAAGAGCAATTAAATAGGAAAGGCTTGTCACTCACCCAAATCAACCCCAATTTGTCTGAAAGATACTTTTCCAGTGACTAAACAAGCATTGTTGGAATCGTAACGATTTAAACTATTGAAACGTCATTTTTAAGAACAATTTGTTGTGGTCATCTTATCACCACTAATCACAACTTTCTTTCATAGAAACGCACGCTTTGCCAGGTAGAGAAGTCTTTAGAGTAAAAAGTTACAAGCAGAATAATGAAAACAAGGTTAGAAGATTATTGACATTCACATTCGCACATTGAAATCCTACAAATGAATTTTATTGGATTTATGACAAGCCGTGACGTAACCCAAGACGAAACACGTATATGACAACATGTACATGGGCAGTGCCGTGACGTAGCTCACTATGACGTAACATTGCGTTATCAATAGTACTTACCACTGATGGTGATATTTCCCAAATCGGATCAATCAAAATGGCTTCTTGATATTTAATACAATCATCTTGTTTCCACGTCAAAGATCCGGCGATCCACACTGATATTCTATCCATTATTGCCATGTTTTTAGCTGCAAGACATTGCTTAGGAATTTCTTTTAAATATTCGACTTGTTTACGTGCATACGATTGCTTATAAAGTCTAAACCATTCCCAAGGAATGCTTATAAGGAAAAGAAGACCAAAAACGTACCAACACTGACGATACCAAGGCATGCTCGTACGAATTTCAAATAAGATTAGCAAGGAGAGTATCACAACCATAACAAAAGCTACTGCAAATGTACCATTGTGGTATGAGACAAATTGAGCCATGTAAATAAATATTGACTCAGAAATAGGAACGTCGTCTATTGGAGCATGTAAAAAAAATTTGGATATTATTTCCACAGCATGTGCAACCTTTTCGTCTTTCCCATTTTTAAATTCTTCAAGATGTTTGAAGTCATCGTCCGTTAAATAAATTAAAAAGTTTCGTTTCCCAGGAATTGTGAAAGTCTCCAGAATAATTCGAGTAAGTTGTTTTAAATGTGCAAAGTCGCAAGTTGTCGAGCCTTTTTTAGAAAACATATCCTGACTGTCGGCCGACATTGATTCTGGATTGAAGGTCGAAAAATATTTTTTTTTGTTTTTTCTCTTTTTCTTTGACTTTTTTTTACCATTATTGTCTTTTTATTGAGCTGCAACAACATGAATACTTTAGTTAAGAAAATATCTATGACATATATGTAATTAAAAGGGAATGCAGGGATAGTTATGTAGTTAAGAGGAAATGCAGGGTTCATAAACAACAGCCAAATGTGCTCAATCAAAATGACAGGACTACTTCATAGTAGCTCAGTCAAATTTATAGTTTTAAAAATAGTATTTTTCATTGCTCATCTGATGTGGTATCTTCAAGATACTATAACTATTCGTGAGTTATAAATATGCATTTTATGAGTTTATTTCATCAAATTAAATCCCAGCTCTACGTAACTATCAGGTGGTTCATTGTCAAAGCATAACCTAGTTCTCTCAGGCTTTATAAATTGCTTTGTGACACACTCCTTTGAATTGAATTATTTCAAAAGGTACTTAGCATGTTGTTCAGTGTTCATAGAGGAAGATATATAACATACATAGTAATACATCTCCACTATCTTAGACAGACTGCGTTTTTACTCCAGTGATGCAAATATTTTTGTGTTCACTGACCATAAGAAAAATAGATTTCTAACAAAATGAATAAAGGCAATCTTTCAAAATTTACATATCAGGAATAAATCTGCAGGCTTGCTATGCTATTGAATGTATATCTCACTCATAAACAACTTTTAAACTATGGTACTGCCCCAGAAAATGTTATTTAAGAATTGAGAGATTTTTACCATAGTTTTTTGTTTTATGAAGAGAGGATTGTTACGCATACCATAGTTAAATGTTTTTGCATAAAGAATGTTTATATTATGTTAAATTAAAGCTAAAAATCATGCATTCTCTACAGGAATAAAAAACATAATCCTACAATTCTGGTTTGTTCAGAACCTTAGTCAAGAGTTGCTTATTGATCACTGATCAGGATGCATTTAATCAATTCAATACTAATTCTGTAATCAGTTTGATTATGTAAGCAAAAAACAAAATTTGCACACTTCTGGAATAAATCTAATATAATAATCACTTTATACAAACAAATCAAAGATATTTTTATTCATCTTTATGTCACAAATGATTGTAACAGCTCATTCATGAAAACTTATCAGTTCATTTTACATACTTGTCCCTTGCATGTCATAATTTGCTATGTAAAAAACAAATTAAAAATAGGGGAAGTTGGCATGAAGACATGCAGTCTTCCTATAGGTTTAAGTGAGCACCATTAAAAAAGTAGAGATTTTCTTTAATAATATTTTCATATTTGGAGTTTGGAGTTTCATTTGTCATTTTGTCATTGTTTTTTTCCATTATTACTGCATTTTTGAGCTTAAACACTAAGCTGAATTATCTCCTTACCTTATTAAAATGATCATTTTTTGTTTGAACCAAGGCCATTGGATCAACCCAATCATCAGGAAGTATATTCTGTTCATTTGGATGATTTAACTTACAAGAACAATAACATAAACAGAAAGTGATTAAAAAAGCTAATATTTGTAGCTTCTCCATAAAATCCATTTTGGAAAATATACTAGCAGCACGGTTACAGCAGCTATTTTTCAATTACATAAAAGGACTTCTAGCACAAAACAGAAAAATATATGAACATTTCGTGTCTCTTGTGTGGGTTGTCACTTGTGTTGTGTGTGTGATGTCGTCATTTCTACGAATTACAATAAACGACCAATCACCATTTCAATAGCGATAGTGCGACAACGATACTTCATGTAATTTACACGAATAGACATATGCACCATTTTGCAAGAAGAAACATGCGTTCATTTAGAAAACTCTCAAAACGTTTTTGAAAATGAATTTGTTGCCAAAATCAGCGAAAGATTTCGGTTCAAAACGGTACTGGGATAAATTTTTTGAGAAACGCAAAGATGCTTTTGAGTGGTACGGTGAATATGCCGACATTTGTGGTGTATTACATAAATATTGTAAACCTCATGATCATATTCTTGTAACAGGTAAAAATATATGTCTTATGTTCAGTATACTGACACATTTATTAATTTTCAAAAAATTGTGGGACCTGCGGACCTAGATGAGCTCTTATAATCATTTTAAGCTATTCTATTTGTGAGGATTGCAATGGCATTTTTAATTTTGCGTAAAACAAGCTTGCTGTGGCATATTGCATCTCATCTGCAATCAGTTTTTCAAAATTCAAAACATTATGATTATTTTCTTCTTTTGAAATCCATTGCTTATTGAAGGGAATGGGTACTAACATATTTGTATTGAATAAGCAAATAAACTGTTAAAAATTAATGCCACTATTTCATGTTTTTCTTGACGTAATTCATGAATTCATGTCACTCATGTGTATTGATAACTTTTATATAAAAATTGCTAGATAACTTTTTTATAAAAAACTTTTTAATTTTGCATGGACCACTCTACACAAATTCTTTCTCTTTGTTTGCTGGAGTACTAGCTGTTGTGAACGGAAAAATTTTTTTTTATTGTGCTTCAATTTGGCATAAAAAACATGTGTTCAAGGCAACTGAAAATTTTTACAAGAATTTGTCTTGAACATGTCACATTTTGATTTTTAAAACTAGCATAGTGTTTCCTGCCTTATGTCAATTATTTGTGAGATGAATGAATACATTTGAACTATTATTCTGTTAGGGATTGGTCAACATAATCAGTCAACTATATAATATTTAAATTTATGCATGTACAGTAATTTCAATTCTTAAACTGCTACCAATACAATTTCTAGACTGCAACTGATACAAAGATACTATTATCTTTGCAATTTTCATTGCTTCCCAGAATTTGCTTCATGAAAAGTTTTTACTCAAAAAATTTATTTTTTGCCATGAAGGATTCAAAAGTTTCTGATTTTTGCACGAAAACATTTTCTCCAGAGTGACCTTTTCATTGAAAGAAATCATTGGCTTTATGAATCAAATGAAGCATTCTTACATGTGCCCTAATTTATTTTAATATCACATGTTCCTGCAAATTGCACATTTAATGTAACATAAGCATAGAACTCTCAATAAAAGATCAGAATTTTTCTTCAAGTGCTGTATGCCAACTGGCAATCTACTCTCAAAATATATGTTTAGTAACAAAAAATTAATTATAATTTCAAAGTTTTGTGCACCTTATGTAATTTACATATTCTGCTTAGGTGATTATCTGACGTAATCACACATATTAAATGTCGTCAAACCTAATTAGCAACAGCTGGCAGTTAATCTGCCCAATTGCTCTGTGTAAAATACTGTATGCATAATGTTTTTTCTCTGTTTTTGTATTATGCTCTCTATTGTTCTAATATCATTGTATTTTCATAATATTTCATATTTATATCTGTGATTTACATATAGATGAAGCTGTCTTTAGTAGTTACTTTTTGCTCAACTTTTTACTTATTTGATCTAGTTCTCATGTACCCATGGCCAATGTGTTTACATGTAAAGTATTTCTGGAACTCAGCATGTATTTGAAATAACTGCAATCATGTTCGGTGGAATTTTAATGGTTGTTTTTCATACATATATTTGTGTTTTTTTTGCAAATCAATGCATTTTGTGGTGATAGTAAAGCCTGCAGACAACCACAGTGTTGTAGTAATGTGAACATTCACTGGAGTGTATAACCTGCAGACAACCACAGTGTTGTAGTAATGTGAACATTGACTGTAGTGTATAGCCTGCAGACAACCACAGTGTTGTAGTAATGTGAACATTCACTGGAGTGTATAGCCTGCAGACAGCCACAGTGTTGTAGTAATGTGAACATTCACTGGAGTGTATAGCCTGTAGACAACCACAATGTTGTAGTAATGTGAACATTGACTGGAGTGTATAGCCTGCAGACAACCACAGTGTTGTAGTAATGTGAACATTGACTGGAGTGTATAACCTGCAGACAACCACAGTGTTGTAGTAATGTGAACATTGACTGGAGTGTATAACCTGTAGACAACCACAGTGTTGTAGTAATGTGAACATTGACTGGAGTGTATAGCCTGCAGACAGCCACAGTGTTGTAGTGATGTGAACATTGACTGTAGTGTATAGCCTGTAGACAACCACAATGTTGTAGTAATGTGAACATTGACTGGAGTGTATAGCCTACAGACAGCCACAGTGTTGTAGTAATATGAACATTGACTGTAGTGTATAGCCTACAGACAGCCACAGTGTTGTAGTAATATGAACATTGACTGTAGTGTATAGCCTGTAGACAACCACAGTGTTGTAGTAATGTGAACATTGACTGGAGTGTATAGCCTACTGAACAAAGTACGTAATTAATGTTAGTATAGCATAGAAAAAATTGTTCATTAATAAAGTGTAGAATTTATCTCCGAACATCAATCATTCAAAGGAATTGACTCAATAAAGCAATATATTTTTATGTTACTATTAATGTTGCCTTTTTGTGTTACGATTATTATTCATTGCTGTTTGTGGTAATTAGCCCTATTTTTGGCTAATAACGTTAAAATCAATGCAACGCATGCACGTGTAATCTATTATTTTATGTATGTATTATTGCTTCAACTATATATGTAGTTATAAATATTTTTTAAACGTATGTTCCTCTAACATTAGCAACTTCAGTTTCAACAACAATTTTGGGCGTGGTCATAAGTACCTAGTTCAGTCCCCATGTCGGATTTGCCGCTTTGTGACAGACTCTCCGTCTTTGTTATAATTCCTTACAACGCGAAACTTTTTTAAGACTTACATAAATCACGGACACGCAAACTGAGCCATCATTATAGGCAGATATAAGCAAAATTGTTTATTTGTTCTACGATTTTCATTATTCTCACGAATTTTTCAACAATTGTATGCTAAACTTGCATTTTTAAAAATCATGATGTGACCACTCTGATGTGACCACTCTGGCAAAACTCAAGTGTTGCGCAATCTAATTTCCCACAATATTGTTATAATTGTAGTACAACTATCTTTTATGTAAAATACCTAGATTGCATTGAATTGACTCTTTTTAATACTGCTTTTGCTAGTCATGCACAATTTATTTAATTTACGCTTTTATGAAATGAAAATTTTGATTTGATTACCAAACACATCCGCAACATTTAAGGTTACATATTTTGGTCACATGTCCATTGACGTCATTAATATTATTTTTCTTTTTGATAATTATTACTTACTTTGTTGTATCATATTATCTCTGTATCTGTCATTATTTTTCAAACCATTGACAATTTTTCCTTGTAACATAAAGTTTAGGAATTACGTAAAGGTCATGACTATATGACATGAAAAATTCATAAAATATGACACATGTTTGTAAATGTAGATCGTCCAGGTTGGTATAGTCCTGAGAAAGACTGTTTTTGTTGTTGTCGAAACGTCAGTCAACAACAACAAAAACAGTCTATCTCAGGACTATACCAACCTGGACGATCTACATTTACAAACATGTAACGATACTCCCGGGTTCAAATCATTTACTTTAAAATATGACACAGTTATTTATTTCAACTGGCAACTAAGTATACATTATTTACACAATTAACAGGTACGATTTTCTAGCTGATAACCATCATCTTCCATACAGATCAAATGTTATTTTGTCTGTATGTAGTTCTATGTTGTTCCAAAGTTATAATAAAGTATTTACAACAGTGCACGTTCAATTTACTGCTTCCTTATGTACAATGAAATAGGCCAATTAATATCATTGAAGGTTATATCAATGAATATCAAGGAAGGTTAGTAGTCCTAGCCACACCCACCGTGTATTTTAACTTGTTCGCTTATAGTATATTTGTTATATTAATTTGGTCGTCGAGTTACGAAATGATATATTTCTAATTGCGCAAAAATCTCTTTAAATGTGATCAAATTTGCATCTTAATTATATTAACTACTGCATTCAGCCGAAATTACGTTATTTATTACGAATGTGGTATAAAACAACTCATTTTTCGAATTTCTCTTGAAAAAGAGTTATTTTAAACCACCATTTAATTCCAAGATTGTTCTATTCAACAGCAATTCTTGTGAAGCAACGCATTCAGTGCCATAGTTTCTCTGGAAAATGAGTTCTATTTAATTGATATGTATTTTATTGACAGGTTGTGGTAACTCGCGGTTGAGTGAAGATATGTACGATGTTGGTTATCATTTATTGAAAAACATTGATATCTCAGATGTTGTTATCAGACAAATGACCTCAAGAAACGAAACGAAACGCCCTCAAATGAAATTTATCAAGATGGATTTGCTTGATCTGCAGTTTGACGATGAATTCTTCCATGTTGTACTTGATAAAGGAACATTAGATGCTATTTTTACAAGCAATGATGAGATGGTTATTGAAAAAGTCGATAAAATGCTTAATGAAGTTTCTCGAGTTCTAAAAATTGGAGGAAGATATGTTTGTCTATCGTTGGCACAAGATTATATCCTTAAAAAATTGCTTGATTATTTTCAATATATTAACTGGTTTATTCGAGTTCATACCATAAATACACCATCAAATGCTTCGTCATTGCCAGTTTTTGTTTTTGTATTTACTAAAACAAGACCTGCTCATCAAGTGTCATTAATGCCGAAAATAATGGAAATTGTTTATGATTCATCAGAAAAAGTCAAACGTTTGAATAACCCAGATGAATTATCTGATGTTATAAAGTCTCTGCGAGAGTTTGCCTTTAGTAAAAAGATTTTGGAGACATTGAATCCGGAAGAAGAATTTCACATCGATTTATGGTCAAATGAGAGCTCACTTGACCCAAGATTCTCCTTAACTATTATTGATTCAAAAATTTATAAAGCTGGAAAATTTGCGATATTTATTGTCCCTCAAGGAAGGGAGCATGAATGGTTGTTTTGTGTTAAAGAAGGACAGAGGCAACTTGCTGAGTCAGCAGGTTTTCAACGTCTTATCATAGTTGCGTTGAATCGAGGTCATACGTATGAAAGTATTGATAAGATTAAAGAAGAATTATCTAGCAAAGTGATGGAGCTTGCTCAAAATGGTGTTGATTCTGCATTTAAGGTTCCCTTTCTTTCTATTGGTGATGATATCGGTTCCCGCACTTTAGTACATTCGGGTACTTCATCATACACTGGTAATTATGTCGTTGAAGACACCACAATGGAGAATGGTGAAGTATTTCGTTATTTGATTTTCTTGAAGAATAAAAATATCGTGCAATCTGAAGCAAGGTTATGTGAGAAAAAAGTTATGAAATCAAATAAGAAGAAAGGTAAAAGTAAAATATCACTAAGTGTCGATTTTTCTTTTTTATCGTGTCAACATCACGAGGCCATTGTTGCTGCATTATCTCTGTCTCCTAAAGTTTTAAATAATGATGTGAGTGTGTTGCTTATTGGTCTTGGTGGAGGAAGCCTTCCTATGTTTATTTTCTCTCATTTTCCCCGCATTTACTCAACGGTCGTTGAACTTGATCCGGATATTGTAATGATTGCTAAAAAATGGTTTGGATTTAGCGAAAACGAGAGAATGAATTTGATTGTCAAGGACGGTCTTGACTTTTTGAACGAAAGCTCAAAAACTTATGACATTATTGTGTTTGATATTGATTCCAAAGATGCTTCAAACGCTTTAAGTTGTCCACCAGATGCTTTCATTGATAAAGCAATACTTGCTAAGGTAAAAGAAATGTTGTGTCGTGATGGCTTATTTCTCTTGAATCTAGTGTGCAGAGAGAAAGAAAAAAAATCTGTGGTCGTTAATAATATATGCGAAATATTTTCAGTGGTTTATAAAATGCATATTGTAAATGTGGTAAATGAAATTCTCGTTAGTGGTGACTTGGATTCGACATTAAAACTGTCTGAGGTTAAGAAAAACGCTGGAAAATTAAAAGATCAAATTATAGCTGTTAACAGGTCTTCAAAAGTTGACCTGGAATCACATTTGAACAATCTAAAAATTGCTCAATAATGTCGTGATTTTACCTATGGAAATGTAGATAAAATACTCTTTTTCTTCCCTAATCATGGTGTATTGTGCAATGCTTGGCGCATGAAAAAAAATAGAAACGTGAAACTGAATTTTTTCAGGCTATATCAATATGTGAAACGTAGACATTGGGGAATATAGTTATCTTTAAAAGTGTAAAATCTTTGGAATAGAGTGCTAAGTGTTATAGAATAAAGGTTTTTGTGGAACACATATTGTTGGTGATACTTTGCATATTAAGTACGAAAAATTTCTGCATTTTTCAAAACAGTGGTTATAGCGATTCTACACAAGTGCATATATTCATAGGGTTATCAAGAAAATTTAGAAAATGCGTAGAAAACTATCATTTTATCAAAATTTTTGAAAAGTGTGTTCACGTCAAAGTGTTTTGTCACATGTCGTTTATCTCAAAGTAAAAACCATAAGAAAAATTAATTCAAGTACTCTTCTGAAAAACATAGGCTGCTCCATAAACGAAATAACTGTCATCGATTATTTTTTCTGAGTTGAGCACTCACATGCATGTTATTTTAACTTGAGGCTGTTTTGACTGATATCATTTCCTGTCAATGGTCAAGGCCTCGAGGTTAAAGGTGATTGCGTCGTCAGTCGTCTTTTTAGATAAATAGAAATCTTAATTAATTATTTTCACTGGAAAGACATTAAACGATCAGTATACTTTCTGTAGCATAAGAATTACAAATCTAAAACTTAACTGTAACGCTAAATAACTTTCTGTTTAATTCTGTTTTTTCTTAACTCTTCTAAAATGTGTGTGGCGCAAGCCGTGTAACTGAAACCAAATCGTAAGTTTCGGCATGCTGTGTAGAATGGATTTCTCAAGACAAAATAATGGAAATGAAATAAAATTTACAATGCGCAACCAAACTTACATGCTTACTAAGCCAGTACGACTGTATTTACTTACCCATTTCTCATTTGGCGCAAAAGGCTGCATTATATATTTCCGAATAAAATTTTTTTTCGTTTCATATTTCAAAGAATCGGCGCTTTACCCGTCACATTTTGTTACAACGTTTTGTTTTACTAATGTTCAAATTGACATTCCGGAAATACGTTATCTTTTGATGAAACATAAATACGTGTTGATAAAATTTAATATTATTTCAATTTGATTTATTCGTCACAAGAAAGAAAATCTCTTGTTGCTATCGGTAAGATTTGTTTTCTTATTTATTTGGCTCACGGATAAGTTTTAATCTGTTCTTGTAAAAGTTCTTCGTGCGCTTGTATTTATTATAGGCGCTTGATATTTGTATGATTGTCGCGCGCTTTGTTAATCGCACATTTTACGTGATAAATGTGTAGAAGGTCATTTTAACATTTCATTTATTGCCAACTGAAAGTTGCTGCTTTTACGCACGTATAGCAAATTTTTACTTGAACAAATAATTATTCTCTTCCCAATCCGATGTCAATTTTCCTAGAACATCATTCAGAAGTTCTTATTCACGAATTAACTATTTCTAACAAAAAAATTTATATAGCTAATATTCAATTTTAGGTAATGTTCGAAATGTTAAACATTTTTATTTCACACTGTGAAATGTTATTCCTTGTTGTAACCAAAGCGGTTTTCGCATATTTTTGAGGTGTGATACAAGCAAGCCAAGTGAGTTTGTCTTTTAAACTGAACAGATTATGTTTAAGAATTAAAAATTTCCCAAAGTTAAAGTGAGAAAATAATTTTTGTTATTCACATCTGTCAATTTTATCCATTAACTTGATAGCGGCAGGAAAAAATCTGAATAGTTGTGATTGTGCTTGTGTTGCATTTTTTTCAAACGGTAAATTATTTTTATCCTATACAGAATTACAGATATACTGTTAATGAAGCTTGTGTTTGAAGTAAATCCTGTGAACTTTATCATTTTGTGCGTTTCCAATCATTTGACCTTGTGTATATGTGCTTCACCCTAACGACCAATGACAAATTAACAATAGCGATGTTTATTTTACAACGGACGAGTAAAGTGTTGAAAAGTATTTTGCTTCCCGGTGATATCATTCTCGTGCTGTAAAAATTGAAACCTTACCTTATCGCTAGTGTAGTTATGCTTATTTTATAACGATGACTAGTCAAAACAACAGTTTAATACAATACATCCCTAGTATGATTCTTGCGATTCTTACGTTTAGGAGTGACTATGTAAAGATGCTTCGTCCTTGTGGTGCCTTAATATTTTTACTGTCTCTCACTGTCATCTCGGCTATGAAGAAATGCGATACAACTCCATACATCTCTCAGCCTCCTATATCGTGGAAAAAGGGAAATGTTATTGTTGTTGCTCTGCTTAAAGCTGGATGACCATTGTGTCAGCGTTACGCTGTTTTATTACAACGCATACAAATATACATGAACCGGTGAGCTCGATCATTTCTGCCTAAACTTATTTATATTGTGAGCATTTTCAGGAGTTGATTCAGTGGGGGACTTCAGGCGATCCCCATCACAACCTAAGCTCGGATATTGTATTAACTTATAATTAAAATTTTATGGTATTACAACATGCATTCGATGCAACCCTTCCTTAAAAAAATCCTCGATCTGCTGTTGTGTGTTCAGTTATACGACTTAAAAAATGATTGGCAGCATTTGATGTGTGTAGCCACTAACTATACGGAACAAAAACCAGAATATTTCATGAACAATAAACAATTACAATGGATGTATTTAAAACGTGCTTAAAAGAGAAAAGGAATTTGGCCATGCAATTAAAAACAGGTAGCTACACCGTTGATTTTAGATAATTAAGTAAATTCTTATTTGCTACGAAAACTATACAATTTAACAAAGACAAGTCTTAGTCTTTGAAGGGTAAGACACACTCACTAAGAAACCGTTTGTAGCTAAACATGCTCGTACAGGTTAAAAACTTTTATTCATGAAATATCTTAAACTCTAAATTTCACTTTTGGACCTAATTGTCATAAATGGGACCTTTCTTACTTTTTGCATAAAAAGCAAGTTGTAGCTATGAAATCGCCCAAAAAGTTCTTTCCACTAATCGTATATCGTAATTTCTTCAATTTTCTAGGTTCAATGTTTCATTTGTATCGATCAATGATCGAAGTGATGGCAAAATTGCGATTTTAAAAAGAATTCTTACTTTCCCAGTTTATCAAGACACAAAAAAGCTGAATTTGTGGTCTAAATTGGACGGTGGGAAAGATCATTTCTTAGTTTTTGATAAATGTGGTCGTCTTATCGCGCATTTAAAGAGGCCCAAGCTTCGTAAATTTTTTTTAATAATTTGGTAAGTTATAGCTATCTTTGTAAACAAACAGAGGTTTATTCCCATCGTTGAACTAAACTCTTTTGATATGATTTTTAGGAAGAAAATTGCCAAAGCCTATAATAGGAAAATGTGTGGATGGAAATGCGCAAAATAATGCAATCAAAAATCACAATGGTATAAGAAGCTTACAAACGACCATAAAAGTCTTTTTAAATTATTCGTTATAGCTTTTTTATAAATTTTATATCAACAGGCTTAGCGAGCACGATGAACTTCAATGAAAAGGTCTTTTTGATTTGTTTTTTTTGTTTATATCAGTCTTCCAAGCTTTGTCAATCTCATTTTAATTATTTTAGGGGTTTAATGATATTTTTGAGCAAACAGAACATTTGCATCGTTTAGTTTTAACTGTTAAAAATCCATTTTTCTGTTACTTTTAACGCTGGGCTTTGTAGCAAAAACCGACAAAGTGTAAAACACACGTTTTATGCCTTACACATCCATATTATTTTACCATTGATAAAAAAAATGTAGAATTTCATAGCATTAGACAGTGGCTATCAATGTGCATGCATGGTTTAATTTTATGCGTAGGTTTTGATGATAAAATTTTGTTAAAATAGACTTCATGCAGGATTTTTGATGACCCAATCAACATGAAATATAAAAAATAACCATTTATGTAATTTCAGGCTTATGCTAATACGAACTGTATATGCATGAAGTAGATCAGAGTTTTCAAAATAATACAGTTTATGATGAGCTTTTCGTTAAAATTAGAAATGCGTTAAGTTTTGATGACGTTCTGTAAGATAAAGAAAACGTTAAATTACATGTCTTGTGCTATATAAATAAAATTTGTCTTTATTTTTTTAATATTTCTCTTGTCTTTACCAAGCCAAAACACTTACAAACTTTGTCTTGGGATGTCAAACTCTGCTGAGATACACTTAACATATTCATATACCTACGTAAATAACAGCTAGTTGTCCTTGGGGCTCAAAACAAAAGACCACCGCTATGATTCCGCCCTTAAACAAAGATTGTTTTATTCAATTGAGTTACAATTATAAGTGATTCATGTTAATGATGTCAATCTTGTAAAGACGAGTTGCAAAAATAGCAAACAGAAAACCTTGGCCATTGAATAACAAAAGAAAACACAGATTGCCAACTTGCCATAGCATGGCTTTGCAGTACATCGTGCAAAATTAGAGAGGACTTGATATGCGGTTATGAATTGCTGTTATTTTCTTTCTTTTATGGCTTCTTTTCCTTTGCGAAATGGAAAAAAATTGACGAGACTGCACGTATAACTAGATTTGGAAAAGCCGACTTGAATCACTCACTTATCCAAAATGGATTAAACATCGACTATAAATCAGATGATGGAATCAGACATTGACAAAAAAAGTTTACATTGACTCAATTTAACCGCCCTAATTTTCTTCCAGTGAGTTTCATTTGTCTTCTTTATTGTTCCTCGCTTCTCACACCGCTGTCACACCTCTAACTTGCAGCTCATTTGCAGTCATTCTTTGTAATTTTTCTGCTAAAATCAAACGGCAAAAGCATTTTGAAATCAAGACACACGTGGGCATAATCAATATGCGCTTGCATAGCTATATATTATCGAGAAAGTTTTGAATTAAGGATTGAGCATTGGCTGTTTTGCTTTTTGTGGTATTAATGAGCGACAGGCAGCATTAAAAAGCAATGAAAAAAATTGTTTGAACTGAAAACCTATTCAAAGTCAAGTTAACTCTTTAAATCTTTACTCATTGTCTAACAATGTAATTTCCGTATACAATAAAAGTTCACCCCTATAGACAGTGTTTAGTGCTTTTTTATTTAAATAGCTACATCACAGGTTGTTTGTTGTTTTCTACATGACGAAGAAAATAATTCATATTTCAAAAGGCTCTACCATAATACGTTCTATAAAAGCAA